CAGCATGAAAAGTCAGCTGAGTACAAAACATAGAGAGGAAAACAAGAAGAAAAGGGACAAGAAGAGAGGGACACAACCTAGAACAGATAATGGATGTCTATTCTATTAATATTTCTCTATCTGGAGAATGGGGCTGTTTTATGAGTTGTCTTCTCCATTCAGAGGGCCCCCTGCCTGTCTTTGCCTAGGGCTCCACATTTCCTAAATCCTAAATTTTTCTTTTGGCCGTACTGGTATAAAGTGTAATTGCGCTTCCACTACAGTAGGCGGCAGTGGCGCTCTCATTGTTACTTCTGTCACGTTTGCGACATTGCAACATTTTACGACTTACAAGACAACAGGTTTGCTTTGGTTAGCAGTGTTGAGTCAACAGAAAGCTCCGACTGCGTTCTGTCTATAACCTTCGTTATTCAACATAACAATCCCCATTATGAAAAAGTTTTTAAAAGGGATGAAAAGAAAAGTGGAGAGAGACAAAGACTATGAGACAAAAGAAAGTCACCCGAAAGCTTCACTGTGATTACAGTTGGAGAAGAGGAAAGACCAGTGTGTTTGATGCGTCTAAAAATGCTCGCAGCGGACAGCATGAAGCCAAATAAATTGGCGCGTCACTTAAATACATTACACCCTAATCACGCTTATAAGCTGCTAGAGGTTTTTCAGCGAAAACATGCTGAATATTGCCAACAGTCATCCCGCTTTGTGAAGGCTACTTCAGTAAACCTTAGAGCGCTTTTAGCATCATATAAGGTGGCGTACCAAATTGCGCAGTGCAAAAAGCCCCACACCATAGCAGAGGAGCTGATACTGCCTGCAGCATTAGACATGGTCTCTGTCATGCTGGACGACGCCAGCATGACAAGGATTTATTTATTTTTAGTTTCAGGCATCGATGCACTTAAAATCTTTTCTGTTGCAGACTTAAAACACTATTTAATAAAGATATTCTTTGCTTGCTATGTAGGGGCAGTGTTTGCCATGCTAACTATGCAGGGGCATTGCTAGCTATGCCAACTATGTGCTAGTCATGCTAACTATGTAGGGACAGTGATAGCCATGTTAACTGTGTAGGGGGGGTGCTAGCAATGCTAACTATGCAGGGGCAGTGCTAGCTATGCTAACTATGTGCTAGCCATGCTAACTATGTAGGGGCAGTAATAGCCATGCTAACTGTGAAGGGGCAGTGATAGCCAAGCTAACTATAAAGGGGCAGTGATAGCCATGCTAACTCTGTAGGGGCAGTGATAGCCATGCTAACTATGAAGGGGCAGTGATAGCCATGCTAACTGTGTAGGGGCAGTGATGCTAACTATGTAGGGGCAGTGCTAGCCATGCTAACTATATGCTAGTCATGCTAACTATATAGGGGCAATGATAGAGATGCTAACTCTATAGGGGCAGTGATAGTTATGCTAACTATGTAGGGGCAGTGATAACCATGCTAACTATATAGGGGCAGTGATGCTAACTATGTAGGGGCAGTGCTAGCCATGCTAACTATATGCTAGTCATGCTAACTATATGCTAGTCATGCTAACTATATAGGGGCAGTGATAGCCATGCTAACTGTAGGGGCAGTGATAGCCATGCTAACCATGTAGAGGCAACGATAGCCATGCTAACAATGTAGGGGCAGTGACACTAACTATGTAGGGGCAGTGCTAGCTATGCTAACTATGTGCTAGTCATGCTAACTATATAGGGGCAGTGATAGCCATGTTAACTATGTAGGGGAGGTGCTAGCAATGCTAACTATGTGCTAGTCATGCTAACTATGTAGGGATAGTGATAGCCATGTTAACTATGTAGGGG